CGAAGATTGAGAGTTTGTCGCAGCCAAAAAGTAATATCGATCAAATAACTGAAAAGGTACTATTTTTAATAGATTTCTATGTTTTTTTTTTTCATTTTTCTGTAACTACTTTGGCTACAAAAGTGCCATTCGATCAACAGAACATACTTTTCTTAATGATGAAGATACTACCATTTTTTTTGAACTGAAACTACAGAGATGGATCTTTTTTCTTCATGTCTTTCATGAAACTTTTCAGAACAATTAATCTGTCAATTTTCAGTCGTACGGCAAATGCGGACGTTTAGTAACATTTCGTTCACGGATGAAGCAGGCTTTGAAAAGTGTCCAAATTGAGGCTTCAGCGCATTCACGTGAGAAATTTTTATCTGATCTTCGAAAGGCACGAGAAACTCAAGATGTTGCTGAAGCTAATCGCTTTCTCGATAAAATGAGACATCGTCTGGATAATCCGGATGTCCTAAGTGTTGACACACTTTATCAGTTCATGCTAAGCTACAGGTAGATTTGGCTAATGATTTTTAGAATTATTTTTTTAGAAGTGGTATTTTTGACGTTGTATAAGCGTTTTTTTTTGATTTTCACAATTATTTTTACCAAACATTTATTGTTCGGCCAGTCATTAGCGCAATTATGTATTAGAGAGAAAGATTTCAAAGCTTTTTACATACTACGATATCAATTGTCAAACAGTTTGCGTAATTTACTCATTAATTCTATTATCAGTGATGCGGATTTTTCTGATCAAAGAACATCACAATCTTCGTACCAATAATATCAATAACTTTATTTCATCTCCTCTTGCATTCTAAAGCAATATGATTTATCCATGTTTCATGGAAGATTATTATCGTCATATGAAACAGATGTAAAATTTGATTTATCAGGCCAATTAATATTTGTCTGGCATGAAGGCATATTGTCAAAAAACAGTTTACTTTTAAAGAATTGTTGCAGAAAAATTATTTCTGTTTTAATATAGCACACATTCTGAAGTATGGCACATATAGCAAATGATTTTCACCACCTAGTTGATTTCAGGGACTATCAGAATTACGATGCGATGATAAGCCTTTACGATGATCTCAGCCGGATTGAGAACTGCTCCATTGTAAATGCGCAGGCTATCCGCTTTCTTTATGCCTTTGCGCTTAATAGGTATTGTTTTAACCCTATTTTTTTCGAAATAGTTGAAGTTTATTTGCAGTGTAAAACTAGCTGTTTCTTTTTTTGTTTCGTCTTAACTTCATTATTCAATATAGGTCTTCCTGATGATGACGCGCTGTATAAGTAATATCTGATATGAATATATAGAGAGTAATGTACTTGGTGCGTGCTCTGATTAATTCTTGGCTGATTAGATTATCAAAAATTCCTTCACGCTGTATTTGAAAATTGTGAAATTTAATTTTGGAGATTTAAGTGTTGCTGCTGCTACGCATGATAAGATTTCTGTTTGGGATTATGAGGAGTTCAGTTTCGTTTACTTATTTGTGGATTATTTGTTAGAAATTCGCGGGTTTTTAGACGTAACGAAGAGGGTGATCGTGATCGAGCTTTGCAAACGGTATTGCAAGTAACTTCCAGTTGTATCGATGGTGCTGCCGTATCGCCTGATATAATTTGTTTAGCGGGACGTATCTACAAGGACAAATTCATCACTAGCAATTATGAAGATCGTGAATCATTGGATAAAGCAATTGAGTGGTATCGACGAGCATTCGATCTATCTCCATTAGAATACTCAGGAATAAATTTGATAACGTTGTTGCGTGCTCGTGGCGAAACATTCGAAAATAATAGTGAAATGCAACAAATTGGTATGTATAATTATAAATTGTCATTGGTAAGAGCCTGTTGCTTAATAATATAATGTAGGATGCTATACCACGTTTATCATTTAGCATGTTCTACAGAACTTTGACCGGAACAGTGGCTATAATTTTGTCGAACCGGAAGTACTCTTTTTATGTCTATAATAAATGTTGAGCAGAAAAACCACTATCATAGAATATGAATCCTTGTAAATGGTCAAAAGGCGGAGGTTTCTATTTCTAAATTACAGCTGTTGTACTTAACAGTTTACTTGGAAGAAAGGGTGCTTTGGCGAATTTAACCGAATATTGGGATGTGGCCACCTATTTTGAGGTTTCGGTATTAGCTGACGATTACCCCAAGGCATGCCAGGCAGCATTGAAAATGGCAATTTTGAAACCACCCATTTGGTAAGCGGAATGGTTTTTTAAAACGATATCATTTTATTAAATATTCGGTCATATTGATTAGTCGCAGTAATATCATTTGCTCGACCGGACGTTGTTTCAATCCAAGATTTCAGAACCTTATTACTCGTATTTTGACCAGAATGCGAAATTCTGCAATATTTTTCTGAGGGATAAAAGCAGGTCAGAAATAGGAATGAAATAAAATGATAAGAAAAAAAGATGAAAACTTTTTATCATCTTCCATATTCTGACCAGCATTCTGAGAGGTAATAGTGATCACTATGTAGTCGACTTCATTACCTATGGTAAATTTTTTATGAAAGGTTTTTGAAATCAACAATGGAAAATATAAAATTATTGAATCGTTGCGCGGCAACAATGTCACCGGTAGAAAAAGAAAAACAACAATTTTTATTTTGGTCGGAATTTTTCATGGAAGCTATTGATTCGGAGAATGAAATTGTTTGCGGGCGTTTCCCAGTTCTTATTCAGGAAGTTACAAAGGTCATTTCGTTGAATGTTTTTTTACGGTTTGTTCACTCTAAAAAACTTTTGATTTTCAAACAGTGATTATTTTGCTGCATATAATTTTTATCAGATTCAAAATACCCTAGTTTGATTTATCAAACGATAAACAGTAATATTTAGTCTGTTCAGTTTGATTTCAGCAATACACACCGAGTTTTTTGACACTGAATGTAAGCGAAGGTTCGATAATTCTCAGTCATGTGCTAGAGAGTAGTCAGCAAAAGAAACCTCCTCCGGGTAAGATATCTTTTTTTTATAACCTTACTGAAACTATTATTATTTTTGCTAAATTCTGCCGTCAGTTTTCTTTACAGCTAAAAAGATTGGTCTTTTTTTTCACCAGCTAAAAAGTTTTTACTGATGCGTATAAGTAGTGAATAATCACAGATTAAATCTTCAATAATCCTGGAAATAACTGACTAAATACGTATGGAATTTGCAACATTTTGTATATACTTCATCAAAAATATATTTAATTTTGACATTTGTATATCATATTTTCTTCTCTAGGCATCCATCGGTGGCATTTCACTGCCGCAAATATTAAAGCAGTTTCCGCATCCAAACGTGATGATCGTTCAATGTTCCTTTACGTCCACGAAAATTCAGATGACTTCAATTTAGTATTTCCATCCGCTGCTCATTGCAATAAGTATCTTTTTTGTTCTTATTATCCTATTGATTAGTTTTATGCAAACTAAATTTTTTTAATGTTCAATTTTTGTAGAGTGATGGCTTCATTAATCGAAATGACTAATGAATTGGATGGTAATGCAGGCCGCGTTTTGCACGACTGTGAAGCGCAGAATCGCTTGGAGGTAAACAGTAATTAATTGTATTAATTGATACTGTAATTCTAACTCCAGTGAGTGAATTGCAGTTCGAGTACGAATTAACAAACAATGGTGATCGTGTGGTACTTGGTCGTGGGACGTATGGCGTTGTTTATGCTGGAAGAGATTTGTCAACACAGAGGTAAAAATTTACTTGCATAACTAATTTTAAGTTCATTCATTTAATTATTTTGAACTGTTCATTCATCACCATTCTCGAAAATAATTCAATTTCTACTTTATAACTCTGTCTCACTATTTTCATGTCTCATTGTTTTACTATTAAGGTTCAATTCATAGTAATATCGACTGGCCTTACCGAAGGAGTTTGTGAAATAACTATAAATTATTTTTGACTACCGTGAATATTTCGTTACGCCTCTACTCTATTTTTTTATATGCCCTGAATTGAGTCGGGACAATATTTCGCAAGAGATTCCGTTGTGCTCTTTGACTGTAAATGTAAAAATTTTCAAGAATTGGTTTAAACTTTCAATGTATAATAGATCGATAGTGGTAAAAGAAGTAGAAGTTAAAAATGAAGAGGAAGTGCAACCGCTGATGGAAGAGATTCAATTACATTCGACCCTTTCACATCAGAATATTGTGCAGTATCTTGGATGTAAATTAGTCAAAAAAGATCAAGGGAATGATATTTTTCAAATTATCATGGAGCAAGTCCCTGGAGGTAAGCGAAATTGTGATCATTATAATGAATAAGTCAGGTTATGCTGATACCACTTTAAAAAATGTAAAATAAAACTTCAATTTTTGTTCAAATCTCAAAACGAAGATGTTTTTACAGGCAGTTTAAGTTCGTTATTGCGAAGCAAATGGGGTCCATTGTTAGATAATGAAAAAACAATGGCTATATACGGCAGACAGATACTCGATGGCTTGCGCTACTTAGTATGTCTTAAGATTTTTAGTCCTCTATGTCCTTGTGAATGATCTAGATTTTACGTTTTCATTCCATCATCCTGTAAATAAATCGTTCCTATCTTGTTTTAGAGTATTTAATAGCTCGACTTCTTTTTGCACAAGGTGTTTGCGGTTTTCAATCTTTTTGATAGTACAAAGATCATGCGGAGTGACCAGAGTTCATCTTTATTTTCTTAATATTGAAATCTGACAATAAACCTAAATGTAGCAGATATTTCATTCCGATCTGTCCTGCGTTGTTTTAATTTAATTCCAATCTTTCAAGTTGCTGCTTTTGTAATTTTATGGAAACTTTTTGTAGCACGATCAGAAAATAGTTCACCGTGACATAAAGGGAGATAATGTATTGGTGAATACGTACAGTGGTGTTTGTAAAATATCCGATTTTGGTACATGCAAAAGATTGGCTGGTCTAAATCCGGTAACGGAAACATTCGCTGGAACCTTACAATATATGGCTCCAGAGGTAAGCTTTTTATCCAAAAAATTGATATTCTATCAGTTGATTCCTCGGTTATCCATGCGCTTCCACTCCGTAACAATTGAAACGGTTGGAAGTATTAATACCGAAATGGTTCACCAAATCTAGCATGATGCTATATGCTGTTTAATTTTTCCTCATATTTTTATTTAGGTAATCGATCACGGACAGCGGGGATACGGTGCACCAGCAGATATTTGGAGCTTTGGTTGTACAATGGTTGAAATGGCTACGGGACGGCCACCATTTGTTGAACTCGGCTCACCACAAGCAGCAATGTTCAAAGTGGGAATGTTCAAGACTCATCCTCCAATACCAGATGGTTTGAGCGAACGGTGTAAACGATTTATTTTAAGGTACGCTGATTTATTAGCTTGTATAATAATGATAAGGATAGTACATTTGTACATTAATCATAAAAATCGTCAAAAGTAAAACCTATGCGTGCTTATACATTTTGCAATGCAATCTCCTAACATAATAAGCATGCAGGAAAACAAATGTGCTGTATTAAAAAAGCTTTTTTTTAAAAAAAAAATTTATTAAAATAGAATGCTGTATACCATCAAAAAAAAAAGGAAAAACTACACTTCTGTTTCATTCACTGAAACAGTTTGCTTTTCTTTTTTAATTTGCATATTTCATTTATGATTTTCTCGGTACTGAATTGCCTGGATTATTTGCAGGTGTTTTGAGCCCGATCCACGAAAACGCGCTACAGCAGCAGAATTACTGATGGATCCGTTCATACAACACTTAATACCACATTCGTATTCTTTTCTTTTCATTACTTTTTTTCTCATGGAAGTAATGGAAATTTATTTATGATTTAATCTGTCATAACGGTGTGTTATTTTAGAAATCGAACTGGAAGTGCTAATAAAAAACACTTCGAAGCATGGAAATATAATCGAGGTAAATTTATGCATTCTAAGTATAGAGGCAATATTTTCGTTACAAAGTTAAAAAACAGTATTACCAATGAATCATTCGAAATTGAATGCAGAGTAGTTCTTTGATTTTTGTACCACTGTTGTTAAAATCACGACTGTATTCACCTTAATCATTTGACGATACTATAAAAAAACCTTCATGAGAGTTTTTTCCATTTAATCTTCCATTCTCTAAAACTTTATGAGCGAGAAAAACAAGCAACTGTGTAAATATTCTATATCACATTTTTGTCAACCATTATATATTTTGTTTTATCATTTCTAATTTTAATATATGGTTTGAATTTATTTTTTCTAGATTCTAAAAATCTGTGATCACTTTCTTAGGATTCGAGATCTACTTGTTTTTGAAAGTTCTTGTTTATTTTTGTTTTATCAATATCAAATTTTAGTATGAACTCAAAAAACCTTCATTTCATTCAAAAACAAGTAGATTTTGAAATCTGAGAATGTGACCACGGATTCCTCCTTAAATTTTAAGAAAAAAATTCTAAATGTCCTTCTTTCTTAATAATTCAAAGCTTTTCTTTTCTTTCTCTTGTGCCTGCATGGAAATCAGATAATGAAACAGATTTTCCAGTTGTTCTTTTCACTTTAACTGGAATATGAAATTTGCAGAAATGCAGCGCTCAGTGTCGTACATGGGTACCCAAGGAGAACCAGGCAAAGATACTGAAACGGGGAAAAATTTACATTTGTTAATTGAAAGTATGACAGCTCCACGTCTTACATCATGTCAAGTGGATCATAATACTATCAGCCCAAATTCGTGCAATTTACAATTAAGTCAACCTTCATCACCAATCATTGGCAATCATTTCATATATCATTTTATCACCTAAAATTATTTCCTGATTTTTTATTTGATTCATTTCCTTTTTTTAAAAAGTTTTTAAACTTATTTTTGGATGAGAGCAAAAGCTAAGATGAATTTTTGCAGATGATAGTACTCACCCGCAATTGAATTCGTCGTCATTGTTTGGTAGTCCTTTGGTGAATGGGGCTATTCCATCCTTTATAAATCCAAGTTCGTTAAATCGAACTGCTTCCGATGAAAGTGGAATGTCTTCTCGTTTCTTTATGCTTAAGAAAGATTCCGAACGGCGCAATACTCTGGCTCGTTTCATGTTGGATTATAAAATCGAAGTATTCTCTTTTCCTTTTATCTACATATAAAGATAGATTGCAAACAAATTAAGGCATTTGTTGAATGTATAAAGAACACTATTTTAAAGAGATTTAAATACAATGAGATCTAAAGAGCCTAGTCATGATCTTATTCATAATTGTCATGTCTTTATGCACTACATTTAATATTCGACCATTTATAATATTTATTGGATTTTCTGGATCGTTCACTCGCTGTTAATTTCTTTTTTCTAGATTATTGATAACTGGTATGAACATCTTACAAAGAGTCAACTTGCGGGTGATTTAGTTGTCACGAAGGTAAATTATTGATCATTGAAAAAAAAATGGCATTGGTAGTAAATAAACTAATAAGTGTGAGTTTTAATTAATTTATAAAGTTTTTGAAATGTGTTATTAAATGCAAAAACTTTTAGGAGATGCTGTTGACTTTGCTGCTTGGCATGCGTAATTATTTATTTTCAAAGGATACTGCTCCTATTCAGGTATATTATGTGCATATTTGTTTATTTATTTATTTTTAAATCTAAGAACGTTACGATTAAAGTTAAAGTAGTGGATCCAAATAATACTTGAAATCATCTGCTTATTTCGAAATTTCATATTATTTCCAGGAAATTAAAATAAATAAAGCCCTTGCTATTTGTGATAAAATAATGTTAGGTTAGATGAATCAAAATTTGTTAAAATTTTTGAGATATGATCATATTTTCAGGACGCAATTGATACGGTTCGAGCGCAGCTTGATTTCGAGCCTGCCGCAATATCACAAGTTAATCTTGCTTTGTATGGTTTTTCGGAAGCAGTACAACCATCACTTCGTCAGCAAACCATTAAACCACATTGGATTTTCGCCCTCGATAACCTGATACGTAGCGCTGTGCAAGCTGCTGTTAGTATTCTTTCCCCAGGTATGGTTTTTATGTAACTGCTTAGTGCGCATCTTTCTTATGCAACAACGACTTGTACGTTTTTCACACAAAGTATCTTCGAAGTATTTGACTTACGCCATCTTTTAAAAATATATCAGTATTACTTCAGATAAAATATTATATATCTTCGATGAAAACATATTTATTGAACTGTTATTTGAACAGTTGTTCTATACGAGGCCGAATTGTAGATATTCCATGTACATAATTTCCTTTTTGTTGTATTATGTGCAGGAAATATGTTCTATAAGTTTCGATATCTCCCGCTAGAGTAGAAACAAATTAGCTATTATGTTACGAGGGTTAAAGTACATCGTAATATTTCATAAATATTTCTCGTATTGCTGGATATTTTGAAATTTGCAACAAAAATACATTTAAGCAATAAACAATAGTGAAAGACATACCATTGGGAATAAGAAAACAATAAAAGTTGAAAAAAATTGCTATATTTTTAAGCAAAGAAATAGATTGTGGCTAAAAAAAATAAAAATGGGTAGAAGATACATTAACTTTGTAAAAAATTATGTAAGTGATTGGACTATTTCATCGAAATAAATTACATTTATCCCCTACAGCTTTTGAAAAAGATGCGTTATGCAGTCAGTGTATATTGATTATGCGAGTATGTCTCTCCATTTTGCTTATCTCACATTCCACCTGATTTCCTGTTCATAACAGCTAAATTATTCTTGAGATTTAAAAAATTTTTTTCTTGTAAATTTTCAGTATGAAAGTTCTTGCATGTAACTGTAAAAAGTATTAATTTTTCATAATAAGGAATCAAGTTTCAGTCTGTTTATTTTTTTCTATAATAGTATTCAGTTATATTACTCCCATAATCTTATGGCAAGCATGTTCTTGTTTGCAAGACAGATGTTTCAGCTTATTTTCGAAAGTTGAAAGGATAAAATGAATAATTCTTTTATCTTTCTAATATTCATTAGGTATCTTCAGAATTTTTTGACGGGATTTAAATTTATTTGGTGTAAATTTATGAAAATACCATTTAGATCATATACTTTGATTTGTGGCCACTTGTGCTTTTTTTGAGATTACTAACATCTTGTTGCTATAGAAGAAATTTTTCACAATATATTATCAAGATTTTTGGAACATTTAAATGCGCTGCTTTTCTGGTTTGGCAAAAAGAAGCATTTCTGAATTTGGCTGTAAATGTGTATCAGATAGTTATGAGCGAAAAGGTGCAAGGGCTTTTTAAAGGAGGCCTACAGTTCTTGTTGATTCATTTTTCAGATCTGTCAGCAATGTTGGTTCAGGATGCACCGGATAATCGTATGTCCTCGATATCTCGTGAAAGTGGCGGCTCTCATAGTGAACATTCAACTGTGGATAGCCAGTCGTGTTCTGCATCCCGTGGCATTACACGAGAATCAATGTGGGGTAATTTTTCACCGGAAATGCGGAAAGAGATGCGGGCATTAGTTGATGAAAATAGAAGGTAAAACCAATTGCTTTTCTTTGTTTTCATCAAGGCAAATAAAAATCTCGACCAAAAATGACATTTTTCATTTATTTGTTTTTGGAATTTCAGAGGAATTCTGTATTTCATTTGATTATTTTTCTCCTTTTTTTCAGGTTATTCTCTTTTTTGCTTCAGTTTTTCCATTCACAAATCCCTCTTTCAGGTTATTTGAGGAATTGGTTGCTGTTGAACGTGAATATAACGAACTACTTCAGACTACTCTTAAAGAGAAAAGATTACGTGTAGAACGTTTGTCTGATTTGTTGTCTGATAAGGATAATATGCTGCATAATCAACAGTTGCTAGCACTACCGTCATTATCATCGGGTTTTCCCTTATCATCGTTTTTGATGCAAACCAAAACGGGTTCTAAATCTTCGCCAATATGCACACCGGGCAGTTCTCAGCCCTTGGAACAAGAACCATTCAATCATGTCGAAACTTCTTCGTAAGTTTATCATTTTCTCTAATGAAATTAAATTAATTTAGAATGTGGTTAATCAAGTTGTTGCTAAAATTTAGAAATATAAATCATTATAATATATCATCTTACAAATTCCAAAAAGTTATATCTCTACTGCAGTAGTTAATTGCAGTATTTGTTTTAAGAAATGTTCGGGATAATGAGTTAGCACAATGGTTGCGTTCTTTCGGATGTGATGATACTACAGTTAGGCGAATTCAGGAGGAAGAATACACGAAGCAAGATCTTCTCGACTTTGTTACTCGAAAAGACTTGATGAGACTTAATCTGAGGTATGTTATGCTTTACAGTGGATAATACTAGTGTTGGTAAAAAGAATAGAGATATTCAGGATTACATATGTGTTTGTATATGGAAAAAGAAAAAGATGACCGTTCGGATTGAGAAGCTTATCTTAAAGGAGTCTGCTATCATTTTTCAACTAGCATCAATTGTTTGTAGTGAATTTTTATAATAAAGGGATAAGTTGAATAAATTGGAGATTAAATGGTTTTTTTATTTTCCTATACAGAGGTGGTATAGTGTGCCGCATTTGGCGAAAAATTTTGCAAAGTCGTGAACGCGAACGGTTTTCCGGTTTTTCAAGTCCAACAGGTTTTCATTCGAGGCATAACTCATCAGAGGATTTTCATTCAATGCCTAATGATCAAGAAATATTCACCGTTACCGAATTAAGCAACATATGACCTCTATCTTCTGCAATGTGTATATGTGTATGTATTTACGTATGTATTATGTATGTATGTATGTATATATGTATGTATGTATGTATGTATCTGTGTATTTTAATGGTTGAAGCAAACTTTTTTGATAATTTATTAGAAAATAACTTTTTTGTCTGGAACAAACTTATATTTCCTTTCAATTGTTTATTTCTGTGAATTTTTCTGGGAAGTCTATATTTTGCTTGTAAGCCGATATTTGCTCCTTGTTTTATTTTTGGCTCTCTTTTACAAATGTACACGTTTTAATCTGTAAATTTATCGTTATTAGTTTTCTTTATGTTTCCAAAAACGGCAATTCACATGCTGTCATAGGATTTTTTGCACCCTATCAGCGAAAGTCCTTTCATTGTTAATGACTGTGTTATATTTCATTTTTTTTGACATGTTGTTGTTTCCTCTTATCAGCGGTTTAGAAATGCTGCATATGGTTTTCTTTTTTGGTTATTGACCGCCTAGGCTAGTTTCAGGGTTTTTAAACTTGCCGATTCACCGATACAACACGGCTTCCCGCAGCTAAACCATGTGTGCTGCAACAGAACGGCAATTAGATCGTATTTTATAAATAAATTATTAGTATATGGTGCGGATCTTGAAATTTAAATGAAAAGTATGATTATGATATTTTTGAATTGTGCATTGTATGTTTAATGATTTTTTTTGCTTCATCGGTTTTCACCTTATTAAGAAAAAGGGGAAAGACGATATAACAACGAGTAACTGTCGTGTAACAAGTAAAATTATAAATTTTATGAATGTAAAATGATACAGTGAACTCCTTCGTGATCTAGAAACAATAATACTTGAGTAAGATAGTTTGAAATTGGAAATGGGATTGAATAGACTGATATTGTTTAATCGCAGGAAATGAAACAATTTTGAATTTCGGAACAAAATCTTTCGAATTCTCTGTGAGAGAAGTGTATAAAGGAAGCAAGCAGACTCATCATTATTTTTGTATCACTACGACTTGCATTACCCTGATAGTGCAAACTGTAGTCAGCATTTACAAGTTGATGTTGGGCGATAGCAGCAGTGATGTTTTCAAATCTTGTGGCGGTGCAGAGGAATTCCGTGCCATATCTGTTCCACAGCGGCAGTTATAATTTTTAAAATGAGCTATAAAATTCAATAATTCATCGTGATATACACAGATATTGGTCAGTTGTTATTGATCAAATGGATAACCATCAGAAAAAAGAAAAAACACAAAAGAAATGAAACGATACATATAGAATAATCCGGAATGGTATTTGGCTTATATTTCTTTTTTTTTAAATTATTATTTAGGAGCAGAGGCAGTAATGAAAGCAGCATCCGAAAACAAAAAGATCACTTACAATTAAAATAATGGCAGTACAGGAAATTTACATATAACAGAAATTAGTCATGTTTGATTAGCAGTCTAAACGATGTGGGAATTTTTTTTCGTTTCGAATCAAATTTAGTGTCAATCTTCTTTCTGACAAACACTAAAAATAAATTTTGCATCTTTTAAATTTCACCCAATGTTTCTACAAGTCGAAATGACAAGCAAAATTTTGAATTTCTAAAACAATTCTAAACAATGAGAATAAAAGTTCAACGTCCTATAAAGCTCGAGAGTGGAGAGTATTTTTAATTCCATAAGAACCGCAAAGTTTCAAATCTTAGTAATCAATTAATACAATCTTTTTTGTATTTCCCACAATTGAACACGATGTCCGATTAATTAATAGATTAATTAATGCATAGGGAAATTTAGTAAGCTTGTGATTTTTTCCTTGGCGATGAATTGGCGGAAGACACTTTCTTTGAGAATGGACTGCGTGAAGATAATTCTCTGTCCGGTGTTCCGGCGGCACCCGTCTGAATTATACTACGAGCTGAACCCATCAGACTACGAAGGCGCTGACGTAATGATAATGTTTGCGGCCTTTCAGTTTCCGCACCATAATTGTTCCTGAACGGAAATTTCAGAATAAATTTAGCGAAAAAAATGTTGAAATAAAGAGCGTCTATTACTTTTAGTACAACAAATATTTGAAAAATCTCCCCGACTCTAGAATGAGAAATTTACTTCGTCCTCTCTTCATTTACGGATCCACTTGCGGAATTCTTGAGCACTATAAATTTCTTTAACCATGCGACATCCACTGAAAGTGTATGACGACCAACGGATCCACGAGAATGCTTTTTCTGGATTTTAACATTATCCGATCTGTTTGATATCTAAAGTTAAAAAAATGGAATCTTCGGAAATTTAATTGGCTGTATCTGTAATGCCAATACCTTGATTATGATTTTTGACAGTAAATAACTGGTTTCATTTCTCCATAAACAATTGCGACGATTACAAGCCGAACATTGTAATGTAATAGTTAATTTGATATTGAATGCATTTAAAATCCAATTCATCGAGAATATGAAACGTACCGGCATCTCTTGATAAGGATTTCTATTTTTTATTCCCTTATTCATCCCAATTAATTCAAGTTGTATACTTTCAACATTCACATTCAGCGTTGCAGTTGCTCTCTCCGGATCACTGCATGGCATTGAAGTTTGTGCATGTACCACAAAATCATTCTGTACAACGAAATTTACATTGCATGTCATTTCTTGTTGAAGGTTTCCCACCACCGATGACTTAACTTTATTCACCTTTTCTTCATTTCCTTCATTTTCACAATGTATGGTTGAAACGGAATCATTCAAACAGTCATTTGCTAATAAGGATTTCTCACTTGCTGCGCCTGGAATGAAATCATACAAATCGAAATTATGATTCTGATTTGAAAACACAAGCAGATTCATTATGCGAATCCTTAACAGGAATGATTGGAATTCAAGCTACATACGATACTTGGCATTCTTGATAATCTTAATGTCACATAAAAATTCTAAATGTTCCTTGTTTACCTTTTCAAAAAAGTGCTAAAACCATAAAGATTGGAAATTAAGTTTTATAAGCATTCATCAAATAAAATCAGATTCATTCTTTTATTCATATATCTTTAAAACTTTCGGTCATTTCATCTTGTTCGGTTCTCAAGCGGTTTCTCTCAATCTCCGCGACATTATAAGCAATTTTTTTCAAAGCACATACCATCATCGTTTGGCCAAATCCCAACTTTAAAAGCTACAACTGTTGCATGGTCTAATTTTCCAGGCATTTCACTCAATTTACATCGTACCATTTTACGATGATTACGTTGCTCACTTTTTGATAGCTGTTTTTCAATTTGATACAATTCTGGGTCTTCTAGAGTTCGACGCTTTGCCCTAAAAAAGATTGAAAATGGAAATAAGAAAAAAAAGACGAAAAATACAAAAGACAAACAACTGTCCAAGCATAAAAATAGGGAAAAAAAGCAATCATGTATTTTGAAGAGAAATAATCATTACATTAAACATAGCTTATCAAAACTGATACTAGTATATATTCGCATGATCCATCTTTTTTTGTTTGCACGACTGGTGGCAAAAGATATTTTTCTCATGTGAGCAAAGTGAATTCTTAGAAACAGGAACACTTCAAATATTAGAAACAATAAAGAACGATCAATTCAACAGTGCTTTTCATATTTTATCCCTTGTTATGTATCAGAGTGTACAGCAATTTTATGAGTTTCAACTTTACTTTTGTACTGAAAAATAGCCAAGACGCTCTCGACAAATGAGCCATTACAATCAAAATTCAAATCGAAATGAATAATAGAAATTGTGAAAAATAACTAAATAAATTACAAAACTAAAAGAACAAAGCGGAAAAAAAGAAATGCATTTCTTAGATAATCACGTTATTTGCTCCTTTTGCCTTCTAAATCTTCTCAAAGATCCTATCATTCTAAAAATCAATTTCGAAAAGAATCTCAATATTCAGTCAGAAATTTAAAACCAAATTAAATAAATTTGATTTTAGATTCTGATTAGCCTAAAGCAAGATTATATGTATAACGTGTGTATGTATATTCACATAAACATGAGCTTACATGGATAGCTGTCGAGCGAACTGAATGAGATTGTGACACAATTTGCTGGCACTAATAATAGCGCCATTGCCGACTGGTGACCGTGGTCGGCGTGCCGGTGAAGATCTTAATTTTGAAATAGGTGGAAGGATACCGTTCGAAATTATATCACCCATCCTTAAAAAAGGGTTGACTGTATTATAATAAAATATAAAGTTGACTGTATGAAAATTTCTCGTCAGTTTGAAAATCTGAGTCCAGAAAACTTTGTGCTTTGAGTTCAAAAACAAAGTTTGTTTAAATTTTATGCTGATATGAAGTTGAAAATTATAATACCTTAGCAACATTAATTCATGACGCTCCTCAGCATTAACACATGGAAGTGACGCATTGCAGGTCCGTATTCGAGCAAATTCAGCATCTTGACTTTTGTTCTCACTATCTATTGACCTGAAAAGAACAGACATTGCCCAAAATTTCATTTAGTTCAGAGTTTTAACAACAAATATATATCCAGCTGCCTGATATCTTGACACAAAATGGAACTATATCATCCATAAGTAAATAAAATGTACTATAAGAATGACCATACCAAGGCATAATTTGTTAATGAATTTTAACTCAATTTAAAAATAGATTATTTCATCATAAATATCTATACAAATATATAGCAAATAGTAAGAAGAAAGTACACTGAAACTGGTTCGCATTTTTCTGAAGCACTGATTGGCTCTGATGGCCTTTTGATAACGCAAAATTTTCCGACTACTGGATCGAAATTATCAGATACACCATCAGATGTTATGAATATCACATCATCTGGAAAATTTTTTCTTATAATTTCTACATAAATCCCAGACAAAACTAATATATTTGCTCATACTTGTCATTTTTTTGAACTCCTCTCTCCCTTAAACTTCATTCCCTTCTTGCAACATGTTGAAAGTTAAGTGCTCACTCGGTTCTACGAATGTCATCGAACATGTCAGATTGTGCAACTGAGGATTCGTGCCGTCAACAGGTCCCAGCGCACCACCTGCATCACGCATATCACGCATACTGCATATATCGTGTGAAGCAATTGTAACCTTCAAATAAATAATTCAAATCGGATCGTTTTAATCGCTATTGAGTATGAGCTTAAAAAAATCTTTAAAATTCAAAAATTTCAAAAATCATGCTAGAGATCAACTAACACAAAAATTCAAATTCTTTTAACGTACCTCTTGAACACCAGTCTCCGGACTGTACACAAAACATAGTGAATCACCGACATTGCATACGCAAAGCACCCAACTAGTACTTCCTTTCAGCTGTACTGCAACAGCCACACAAAGTGTTGTTAGAAGACCACCTTCTTGCAAAATCAATGCATGAGCGGAATGAAATGCACCAAGTAATCTATGAAATATTTCCTGAAAATATTTTGCAAGAATTTAGAAGTCAAATTAAAGTTATCCAAGCATTTTACAAATGTAGAATGACAAATGATAGAATTTTATTTCAGAATTATCAACTCATAACATGTAAGAAGACAAGTGCAGAGAACGTCGATGGTAACATCTGTTGCCAGATGTAGGTTTACATGCTACATAAAACAATATTCATTAAAATAGATGGGCAACAAAATGATGTCTTCAAGGACGTCCGCTATAAGTCGTTATAAAGAGTAACATCGCACTTTCCATCTACTAGAACTGAACATGGAGCATCAATTACTTTACGATTCGAATAAACTAAAGTTGATAGTTATAATTCGTTGTGCTAATGTTCAAATAGTTTTGCCATGCCGTGTCCATGATTATCAATACAGAATTACTTTGAATCTAACAGATAACCTTGTTTGACTAGCTACCGTATGCTAGTCAAACAAGGTAATTTATATAGATCTCCCAAATATAACTTATAGTATGATAAAGTTCACTAACCATTTAATCTATTCTTACATCACTAATCATTTAATCTATTCTTACATTACTTTTTTCATTATCAACAGAAGTAAAAGAAAAAGTAAAATGACAGCAAAATGAAAAATTTGAGCCAACACACCAGTGATGTTATCTTCTCTAATTTTTCGCTTAAAATCGAATTACATTAATTAAAATTTGAAGAAAAAAAATTTGCGACGAACAGTGGTTGTTTTACATTCTTCCGCAAAAAGATGATAATTGAGATGATCAATAGCTCCTCGTATTGCACATCGTGCAGCTAAACGAGCTCCTTCGCCCCAATTAACACCATCAGCCAATGCCATTACAACATTGTTATCTCGAGCAACAATACCAAAAGCATCTGCTATTGGATTACCAGCATTTACTCCCGTCAACGGATTTTGCTCATACAATGTTGTTGATATCCCAAAGCAGCGTTCTTCATCGAAACAATTCCAATTATAATTTTCTAAAATAAATGAATCATAACTGTAATTAATAGAATGAAAAGATTAAAACCATAGATTTCAATTAATATTATGAATTCGCATCGGATAATATAAATCATCGGAAGGAAATTATGTCATACTGTAATAACTTGAGTATGACATAAATTTCCAAAAGAAATTCGAGAGAATTGTGCAACAAGATTTTAACTTGAAAAAATAAAAAAGACTTATACCAGCATCTGATCGTATTGCTGCATCTTCCGTACTCAATGAATCAACCAGTGATGTACATGAACCTATCAAACCGGACGAAGACTGTCGTAAATGATTATGTTGCAGAACTTCAAATTTATCATTCAAAGAATTTCCTATATCTGCAGATAAGTCACCGTCAAAACTTAAACAAAGCTCATCATCTAAATTTGCCATCCGAACAATCGGTTGACGACGTATGCCTCCAACCTAGAAAAACATGAAAATTTTAACTTAAATTTATGAATAAAAGAACATATAGTGAGCAAAAAAGTGAGCTAATTTATTAACGTACCTCCATAAGTCCACCTTCTGGACCAGTATATGAAGCACAAACATTCCTAGACAAAGGCTCTAGCAGTAGAATCGGCAAATCAAGACCCGTTTTACCAGAATAAATTTCTCTTCCATATTTCACACCTTTTTTTTTGCTGAAAAAAACTGATAGAAGAGAAAAACTGGATATTAAAAATATTGTTGGAATTAAAAAAAAATGCTTTAGATGATGCATGAAATTTTTAGAAAATTCTTTTCATATTTTACAATACAAATTAGGCGCGGAGATAATAAAAACTTCTAACGTGAAGGAACTTTTCGATACCATTGAAATATGCTATGAATGAAGTAATATAATGTAGTAATATTCAAATTAATTGTATTATAAATAAATAATTTTCAAAATTGAAATTTCTAAAAAATTCATAAAAGAGAATAATTAAACAAACAAAGTGCCATTCAGACCGACTGATTAAATTAATATACTTAAAATTGTATAGCACTTTTTTTTGGTTTCTCGAAAAAACTTCCAGCTATATAATTTGAAATATCTAAAATTGAAAAGTGCTGCTTAGAGTATAAATATTCTGATAATAGCATCCCAGTTTAAAATCAAACCAAATTTTTTGGGAAAAGCAAAATTCAATTACAAACTAAATAAAAAACTATACCTTTTGAAAATGCATTGTGAAATGAAGGAATTACTGGATGTTGGAGTTAATGATGAGCAACCGTCAAAAAGACACGGATTAGTAGTAATTGTAGTTGTGACAACAGTGCCATTACTTATAATATGTTTATTATTTCTATCACTAATTAAGTTACCATCACTGTCATCATTATCATTGTCATTACAATCATCAGATGTTAAAGATGAAAATGTGGTACGTATCAGGCCACATATTTTTTTCCGGATTGATGATGATGGCATCCTGAAATAGCTTTGTGTAGGGAAAATATCTGCTACTTCTTGAAGATAAGCAGTGAGGAGTAACTCCAAACAAATGTCTAATTATGGGACTAATCACGTAGGAATTACGTGAAGGAATAGCTCGAATTACTAATTTGCATAAATGCACGCAGCAAATAACATTTATAAACATTTACAAAATGAATTTAAGAACAATGGCGAAGATTTACGAGAACATTAAACGATCTGAATAGCACCAAATAAGTCAGACTAAACAATTAAGCAAATAAATGCAAAAAATACATTAACGTGCAATTTTTCAACATTTAAATTCAAATTTACTAAGAAAGACAGTGCCATTTTGCCTTCATAATGCTTATTTGATCCCTTAAATAATCGCAAAATTTAACTACTTAATTGTTGACCTTATTGGTAAATTTGAATTTAAATTTGTAAAAATTTCCTTTTAGGTAATTGAAAATGTTGCTTAGCGACTTAGATGTATTTAAAGGATTGATCGATATCAACCAAGGATTGATCGATATCAACCAAGGCATCATCACCATGAAACAGAAGAGGCCTAAGCCAGCAACTAAAAGATGATACGATTTTCGAATTCCTCAAGCAGCAGTTCCATCATGCGACGCGACTAATTCCGGAAAGATTAGGCGGCATTTTAAATATCGACGAGTTCAAATAAAAAGATGATAAGATTATGTGAACAAAATGAAACTTGGAAATACACGTACCTAAGTCAACTAGTTCATTATCTTAAATATTGAGCAATAAAGAAATCAATTTTAATTACTATAAAATTACAAAAATAATGAGTCAAACAGATCATCCACTGTATAAATAAATAAAAAGTCAAACAGATCATCCATTTTTACTAATTACTACATATTTAATAGTAATAAGGCAAGATTTTCTAATTTAATAATAAATTTATCATCATTTACTGACAATAAGAATGTTCATTATTTTCTAATTTTAAATATTACATAAATATTTGATTCTTTCCGCTGAAAAGTAATGGAAAAACTACAAATTCAATGATAATTATAAAAGGTCTCCTTAAAGCCTGACAATTAAACGGTCCTAGCCAAAGAATTAAATTAAACCTATGAAAGGTATGCTTAATTATTCATTTACGTATCGGGACAATTATCTGCCATAATGTAAACAGATAACTCTATCAGATAGAAAAAAAAAAAGAGGAAAGAAATAATGCATTTATTCCTTTCATGTTTGTTGATTCTGCAACTTTAATTCGAATTTAATGGGAGGATAAAATTTTGAATTTCTGACAGAGCAATAACAATGTTTGAGAGGTTTGTTTGTCTCATATCTTTCTAATCAAAGAATTTGGAAAACAGGAAAATTTCCATATAGACGATAGCAAGTAAATACATACGTATGAAAAGCAATGGGGAGTAGACAAATTTACTTACATTTGAGACACACAAACTGGATAGATTAAATTCACTCATTGTGTGACCTTTAGTTACATTTGATTAATAAATGATTAAATTCACTTCAGACCTTTTATAATTAATCTCTTATTTACATTCAATTAATAAATCAATTTTTGTTGCTTTTCATAAGAAACAGAGAAGACAAGAAATCAATTTATTTATATATTATCATCATTTCAAAATA